TGTAAATAACTATAAACATTGGTCTCAAAATCAGCACACATTACTATTATTTGAGATTTTTAAAAGATCCTAGTGATTTAGCTACTCATCAGACTAATTACATTCAGATCTCTCTGGTTGACACCCAGGCATCAGTAATTTTTAAATCTCCTCACATGACTGCAGAGTGCAGCCAAAAATAAGAGCAAAGTAGAATTAATGGAATCTAAAGCATCTGTCTACTTACATGTGTGGCTGTAATTTGATATAAGGAAAGCTGCTGGATATTTAAAAGATATCCTGAGAAATAGGATTGATTGGTACAAAGGCATTTGTATTCTATCAATAATTGTTTTGTAATTTCTATAGGGCGTGTGCACTCGCCAGACAGACAGAGAGAGACAGAGAGACAGAAAGTGAGAAATCACCCCCCAGGGGGGATGGCCACACCGCAATCCCTTCTCCGCCATTCTCCTCTTGGGATCTTGGGCATGCATGAACATGCGCCCAGCATGAGTTTAAGCCACGGGTCTAGGACTCAAACCACGGTCGACTACATGGGAGTCCAGCAACATAGCCATTACGCTAACTGCTGGTCCCATTGTTTTGTAATTTCTAATATGCAAATAAATGTAGTATCCTCCTCTGTTTTGGGGTGAGGCTAGAGATAAGAGTTGGTTTGGTAGATCAGTTAAAACCAATATGGAAAAAACAGACCGTAAACCAATTTTTGAAAATGAAATTCAATATAAACTTCTTCCTACAAGAAAATTTGAAGTTTTATCCTTATGTTGGGCTTCTATAAGTTTTTTTTTTTTTTTTTTTTTTTTTTTTTTTTTTTTTTTTTTTTAGTATTTAGGCAATGCTTACCACATAGAGCTTCCTGGTTTTATGGAGCTTCAGAGATTTGAGTTTAGAATGTGAAGCCATATCTATTCTTTAAAGATTATTTCTCTCTTGAGAGAAAAAGATGCACTATTGACAGGCCATCATGTTATAATCCTTTCCTAGCCTTTCGGTCATCAAAATCATGGGCTCACCCACAGGCATGCCTGTGTGTTCAGGTTCATTGGGATCCTAACCCAGAGCTTTCCAAATGATCCAAGTATTATGCAGTGGTGTTCTACCAGCTACACCACAGTAGCTGGGCTGAGATTATTTACTTTTGAAGACTACCTGAATAGAGTCAAGGAGTTATTCCCACTTAAAATGCCCTTTGAAGATTAATTGTTAAGGTAATAATTGAAGTGCTAGATTTAGATTTTAAAATGTAAAAACTAAAACAAAAATTCATATATGAATTTCTATTATTTGAATATGTCCCTCAAAAATTCATGAAGTAGGCCAGCAGATGGCATGGAGGTTAAGGTACTGAATCCTACATGCCTAGCTGTGTGGTTTGGATTCCAGAACCCGTGGATTCAAAATCATACAGGGCATGTGTGTGTGCATGCCCAAAAGTCTTGAGAGGAAACTGGAGGAGAAGGAACTGTGGCATGGCCATTCTCACGGGAGGGTGATTTCTCACCTTTCTTTCTTCCCCCAATTCCCTCTCTTTCTCTGATGAGTGCAAGTATCCTATAATAAAAACAAAAAGAAAATTCATGAAGATTATGACAGGACTAAAAGGATGAAAATACAACTATGGGACTAAGAGGTAGAGCTGTGTTGGGGTGGTTAGGATTAAGGCCACAAGGATTGGGTCCCGTTATTGAATCCTGTTGCATTTAAGAAGAGTGAGTGAGGCATACACACATTTGCTCTTGTTGTGTATTGCCCTGTGATCCCTTGAGCTTCCTCAGGCCTCTGCAGAAAGTCCTTACTAATAAAAAGTTCTTCACTAAATGCAGTCCCCTGATTTTGGGTCACCAAAGCCATGAATTAAATAAATCAATATTATTTCTCGAATTTTTTTCTTTTTTGAGTTTTTTGCTATAGGGCATGTGTGCTTGCCAGAAAGACAGAGAGAGACAGAGAGACAGAAAGTGAGAAATCACTCCCCAGGGGCGATGACCACACCTCAAACCCTTCTCCTCTCAGGATCTTGGGCACACACACACACATGTGCCTGGCGTGAGTTTAAGTCACCTGGTCTGGGACTCAAATTGCGGTAGACTACATGGGGGTCCAGCGACATACCTATTATACTAACTGCTGGTCCCTCCCCACTTTTTTAAAAAATAAGTTTTCTCATTTATTTCTTCAAGAGTGAGAGAGACAAAGACAGAGAGACAGAGAGAGATAGCACCACCAAAATGGTCCTGAGGCCATAGTGCATCCCCAACCATAGCCAGCCTTGGATCATAGGAATGTGTGTGCCTGCCAAACTTGGGGAGGTTTCTGGATGAGAAGCCAACACTTTCCCATGTAGGTCAGTCTTGCAGAGCATAACATTTTGCCACTGCACCATCATCCAGAATGAAACCTCTATTTTTTTTTTTTTTTATAAATACCCAGAATCATATAAGCAACAGAGGATGGGCTAAAACACAAACTTGTAGTGATATTTTAGTACATGAATTTTCCTAAAAACAGTATTAGGTGATAAATTAGCAGAACCATCTAAGCTATGATTAAAATTGCTCTACAGGAAGGGAGCCAATTAGCTGCTTTATACATGATAACAAACAATCTTGATTCCACTGCTACATTTTATGATCTTAAAATTTGCTGGACAGAATCAATCAAGTAAGTAAACATACTCAGATCTCTTAGGAAGAAATAATGTCTACAGATAAAAGAAAGCAAAATTAGCTTTGTAGAGCTGAGTTCCTTATTTATTTTTGGCTTCTTCTTTGCTAGATAAATTATGAAACTGGTAATATTTATTCTCTTCATTGTGCTATTGTTTGTAAGTGTCATTATAAATACATGCCCAATGCACTTGTCAGGTAGACAGCCCTAATTATATTTTAAGGTTATATATCCTTGTAAATAATCTAGTTTATTGGGGCTGGCAGATGGTGTGGTGGTTAAAGGTGCTCGACTCACACATGGCCGACCATGGTTCAAGTCCCAGACCTGGTGGCTTACTTTCTCACTTTCTCTCTCTCTCTCTCTCTGGTTAAATTGGAAAATGATAACAATAGTAAATAAAGTTAAAATAAAATAATTCCTTATTTAAAAAATCTAGTTTATCAAAGATACATGGCTCAATTGAAAATGTCAAGCACAATAGGATCCTTAAACCTTTATGCTACTGAAAAATAATCAACAAAATAATGTGAATTAAGTGTGTGTGTGTGTGTGTGTGTGTGTGTGTTTTCTTTTCCTGTGATTTTTCAAATAGCATAGTGGTTCTCAAATAATGAACCTGGCCCAACAGTTTCAACAACACTAGGGGATTTTTAAAATGCAGATCCTTGGGACCACCAGTTAGCATAATGGTTATGTCGCTGGACTCCCACGTAGTCGACCGCGGTTTGAGTCCTGGACCCAGTGGCTAAACTCACTCCGGGTACGTGTGTGTGCGCGCCCAAGATCCTGAGGAAAAAAAAAAAGGAGATCTTCAGGTTCCACCTGCCCCTACTGAATCAGAAACTCTGAGGTTGAACTTAGAAATCTTTGTTTTAATGTACCTGTTCTAAGATTCTGTTTCATTCTAAAGTTTGAGACTAGCTGACAGTAGAAGTGCCCAAAAAAGCATATGTTTTATTAGGTTTGAAAAATATTTTGTATTAAAAGATAATATTTGTTCAGGAAGTTCATTTTTATTTCCAGCAGGATTAATCAAGGTGTGTATCATCCTATTATATTATTCCACGACATGTAAGATCCATGGCTGGTTTGCTGTGTCTTTCAGCATATACTTAAGTGATCATTAATTCCTTACATTTGCTTTCAAAAATTTTTTCAAGCAATGAAGTGTTAGATTTCACATGTGCTTTACTTACCTCATCGAGATAATGTTACTATAATGATCTCACTTATATGTTGCATAATTAGATCTAATATCTCTCTAATGAGGTACACCATGTTATTCGGAACCAGCTGTTCTGTCATGGATAGCAAGGGATACTACACTAAATTTTTCAAGACACTCAATAATAATAAAAGTGATCATTTCATAAAAGTATTTTTACTTCCTGTTTGTAGACTTCCAGTTTTTTTAACTGCTATTAATAACTCAAAAGATGGAGTCACAAGTGTTTGTAGGAAACAGTGCATAAAAACTGCTAGGTTGAAAGATATAATAGTTATCAAGACATACAGTAAACCATGAATATATACTGGTATGCTCTAGAATCCTGAATTTGTACGTTTAAAGAATAAGTCAAATTTGTGATATGATAGTTTAAGAATCTCTTTTATTTTTTTGAGAGGGTTTTGCTATAGAGTGTGTGCACTCACCAGAGAGACAGAGAGAGAGAGAGAGACAGAAAGAGAGAAATCACCCCCCCAGGGGGGGAATGGCCATGCTGCAATCCCTTCTCTTCCATTCTCCTCTTGGAATCTTGGGTATGCATGCACACGTGCCCGGCACGAGTTTGAGCCATGGGTCCGGGACTCAGAGGGAGGTTAAATACATGGGAGTACAGTGACATAGTCATTATGACAGCTGCTGGTCCCAAGAAAGAATCTTTTACATATGAAGAATAAATTTACTAATAAAGAGTTACAAGTTAGCTGTAAAAATGCAGTAATCATTTCTTCAGTAACTGCTTTTCACGTTCAACAAATATGAGATAGAAGTAAGTGGACATATACCTGTGGGCCTGGTTTCATTGGTTATTCCCTCATAAAATTTCTTATGTGCATTTTCAATGCAGACAAACGAATACACAGTAGACATATGTAGATATGGAAAGGAAATGGCATGGAGCTATATCCCCTCGTTTATATTCGATAGTATCCCATCCCCATGCTCATGGAAATGCTCAGTATTTATCCAAACTGTATTTGCTTGTTAATGAAAGCAGAGCATGCCGCATTTTATGAAAGTGTGGTGAATTAATGGATCAGATTACTTCATCTCCTTATAGCCTGAGTCTCTACAGAAGAGGAAATTAAGGGAGACAAACTGAACTGTGATGCTTGGGGACTCCTTGATTCTGCCTGTCACTGTTTTTAAGCCGGCTCAAGGCCTCAGGGGAGTCTGGCTGTTCTAGCTTCCGCAGCCAGCCAGACGGTAACGGCCCACTGCTTTTATTCATTACCCTGAATGTAATGCACTAAATTTAACAAGTAACACACTCAGCGGGAATTTATTGGCCTTTTGCAGCATGATTGCAAGGTAGGATATGGATATGGATTCCAATTACTGCTGACACCCAGATAAGAACAACAAAGCTGGTATATAATTATTAATCAAAGTTGATATTTTAGGGAAATGAAAATAAATAAATAAGTATCACTCTACTATTTGAAACCAATGTTCCCAGGTTTGAAGAACTCTCCCGAGTTATGCAATAGGAACATTCCAATTAAATACAGCAATAATAAAACAGCAACGCATAAAGGCAAAGCGCTCTATAAAGTGACAATTTTCACATAGAAATCGCTACATGGAGCAGGTGTGCAGTGGAGGACAGCTAAGCCGTAAGTCCAGGCACAGACTCATGTGTAGTATGTAACTACATGGTCAGATAACCAACAATCTTTAAACAAGGATTTAATATTTTCATTAGAAAAATAATTTGTGTATTGTTGCTATTCAAAAAGGATATTATGAATAGCTGTATTAAAATGTGGTACGAGTGGCTTTTTAAAAATATGATCTTATGTTTTTATATTTTTAGTACCAGAGTGACATGACCATCAAAGGTAAACATGGCACATGGATGTTTATGATGAACTTCAAAGTTCTAGGGTTTTAATAAAAAGAAAAAAGAAACTGGAGAAGGATCCAGAATTATTTAGTCACTTCAGGCAAGTGTCTATTGTAGTTATTGTTTGTTTTATATATAAAGGCCAGAGGAATACAATATATATGTGAAGGCACAGGATAAAACAAACATTTATTTTACCACATTGTGTATAGATGAAAATGAACGAAAAGGAAAGTCACCCTCTACATGATTCACCCAAATGACCGGTTTACATTATTGAAATAAGCAACATGCCTCACTGGTAAATGCTTGGATCCTCAAATTACACAGAATCATATTCTGGTTTTAATCATTACTAACTCTCTAACCTTGAACCACTAATTTAGTTTCAGCCTGTTTCCTCGAGTGTAAAATAGAGATGATCACAGTAGCTACCTGTGTTGTCCTATTAAAATAAAATAATCTCAGTAAAGTATTTAATATAGTGCTAGGTACAAAAGAAATAATAAATATGAGTAACTTCATGTTATTTTTGTATTACTTTCACCTATTCAGTATTAAAATTTATTAAACCAGAAAAGAAATCATCATAATCTTTTTTTTTTTTTTACACCTGGATATGCTTCACTATAAATTTGAGTTAGAATATTGCAACAGAGAGAAGGGACATTTTATCCCCTATGGATTATGATAGCCTTGCCATGTAACTGAGTTAAAAGTTAAATGACATTTCTGATACTCAGCATTGAAGCATACCTGCCTTCAAGAGCATGTGGGAAAATTAGAGAAAACATTGATGTATGTGGTATATGCCCCTGAACCTTTGTATAAAGTCTGCCACCATCCAGATATAATTATTATTAGGGATCTTTTGTTTGACCCTTGTCTTTGGTCATCAATGCAATTCCTTCAAGTATCATTCCCATTACATAGTGAGTAAAATAAAGGATAAAACATGCTAATTTGTGTTTTTAGGACCATAGAGTTAAAATATTGGAGCAAGAGCCTCACAGTACTGAAGTCCTCCTAAGTCAGTCTTTTCAACCATAGCAACAACCCTCAGTAGGTGAAAAGATAAAGGCAGAAAACTGAGTAAATGCAGATGAGAGAAAGAGAGAGTGTGTGTGTGTGAAAAGGCATATGCTGTGGCTAGTGATGGTACACAGATTGGGGGTTTTAAACAGAGAATGGGTAAGTGAAGATCATTTATGTTGTGCCATGGCTTCCTTTGACAATCCTAATGACATCATAGGGCTTACCATTGATAAGAAAGGTTTTCATTAATTGGAATACTGTGGTGGTATAAAAAAGTGCTTCTGTGATAATGCCATCAACTGATGCTTTGGAAGCTCAGACTTCAAAAGGACCAAAAATCAAATGAAGCAGTTAAGAAGTAACTTGAATTTGGTTGACCTTAGGGAATTCCAACATAACAATGAATTGATTAAACTGAACATTTTAACCAAAGTTAACAGTCAAAGATCATCATAGTATAGATGATATACTATAATATCATCTGATACCATCATATAATACGATATATAGTTGAATTTTTTCATTACACCAGAATACGCTTTATTTCACTATACATAGGGTCTTTATAAAACTGTTTTTCCCACAAAGGCAAGAAGAGTACTTCAGAAAGCACAGGTAGTGTGGTGGTTAAGATGCTGGATCCCACATAGCTGACTCCACTGTTCCAGTCTCAGACCACAGCTTGAAGGTCATGCTGGGTGTTGGTGTGTGTGTAACCAAGTTCCTAGGAGGGGGAGAGGGGATTGCAGCATGAAGATCCCCGCAGGGGGTGATTTCTCACTTCTTCCCACCCTCTCATTCTGTCTCCATCTCTCTCCAGTGTGTGTGCATGAATGGATGTGCCTTATAGCAAGAACTAAAAAAAAAAAAAAAAAAAAGTTAATTCAGAAAGTTGCGGAGGACCAGCTAGATAGCACAAGGGTAGCATCATGCTCAAGTGATGCTGGGTCCCTATGGAAGATCATGGGTTCAGTTCTCCAGTTAATCTGTAAGTGCCAGTCATTCAAGTCCACAATCAGCTGGTTGGGCAGGTTAGAGGGGGGGATCAGCGTGTGGGACCCTCTCTGTAGTGATCGTCTCTTCCTTTCTCTGTCTCTCACTTTCATAAAATTTAACAATCCATGAATGGAAAAAAAGCACTAGTTTATTGTGATGAAAACATTTTTTGAAATCTATGCATATTTTTTTTAATCATATGCATTTTTTCATGAGCTTTTTGAAGATTTACAATTAGAGGCCCAGCCTTCTAAATCAGAGAAACATAAATGACATAAGACTTTTGGAAAATTAAACAAGAAACTGAGTCAATTAATACTATAAGTAAATCATTAGTAAATGTTTACTTATGCTAAAGGAAATTTGTTCAATTATTCATTCATTCTACAGTATTTATTTATTTTATTGTAAATAAAATAAATTTATGTATTATATATAATACATTTATATACTTGACTATAAATAAAATTTAAAATTTACATTTAATCCCTGTTCATCTTTACAGTGTACAAAGTGGTTTCTCCCAGCATGAACAAAATGCATATTAGTCATGTCAAAGACATTACCATATACATTATTATCAGCAGACACCTTTTCATTGTTGTGTCTATTAACTCCATCTACAATGATACTCTCAGTGCCTTCCCTTTGTCAGTTCTGTGTTAGTACTGAGGACACAGCACTGAAACCGACAGACAAGGTCACTGCCCTCATAGGTGCTTACATTCTGTTAGCAGAGAAAATACGAAATAATCATATACTTGCAATTTTAATCAGGGTGTTTACTGTAATGCTGGCCTACCTGGGGATTTAAAACTGTTCTCGAGGAGGTGGTTAGAAAGATCTCATTAATAAGTAACTCCACATGTGCTGACTCACTTAATCCACCAAGCCAATGGGATCAACACTGCTATAATCGCCTCATTCACAGATAAGAAAACTAAAGAATGAGGGCATTAAATACTTAAGCAAATCATATGGTCAGTAAGGGGTAGAACCAAGGTTCAAACCTAGGCCATCTGGTTTTAGATTCCCCTTTTTACCAACGTGCTATAGAAGTGTCTGTGCATTTGTGAGGGAATAATGAAAACACACTCTAAATATAAAGAAAGGCTCATCGGAAAACTCAAGGTAAAGAAAAACTCAGTACATTTTGGTAGATTTCCCATAGAAATCTGAGGAACTACACACATAATTTAAACTTTTGTAGTAGTCACATTTAAGAAAATGAAAATAGAAAGTAACAGGTGAATACACTACTCAGGAAAACAATTTGGCAGTTTCATAAAACTAAACGTGCAATTACTACATGGCATAGCAACTGAACTTTTTTTTTTTTTCCTTTCTTTTGGAGAGGTTTTTGCTATAGGGGGCATGCGCTTGCCAGACAGACAGAGAGAGACAGAGAGACAGAAAGTGAGAAATCACCCCCCGGGGGGATGGCCACGCTGCAATCCCTTCTCCTCCATTCTCCTCTCGGGATCTTGGGCACGCATGCACACGCGCCCGGCGTGAGTTTAAGCCACTGGGTCCAGGACTTGAACCGTGGTCGACTACATGGGAGTCCAGCGACATAGCCATTATGCTAACTGCTGGTCCCACAACTGAACTTTTGAACATTTATTGTAGGTCAATGAAAATTGATGTTTATATGAAAGCCTGCATAGGAATGATTACGGCAGCTTTATTCATAAGAGCAAACACTGGATCCAACCAAGGTGTCTTTCAACTAGTAAGCAGCTAATATCTGGTACATGCATGTCATGAGCTACCCTATAAAAATGGAGAAGAGGCTATTGACCTATACAAAGGTATATCGAAAAGTCTGTGGAAACATGGAATCAAAGTGCAAGTTTATTTTGTTGCAAAAAATTTCTGAAATCCATACATAGTGCTTTTGCAATACACATTTTCCATGATTCATGTTCCATGAACTTTTTAAAGAGACTCTCCTTCTCCATATATATAATGGCTAAGATCAATCTTCAGAGAATTATGCTAAGGAAAAAAGGCATTCTCCAAAAATACACACTGTATAATTATATTACATAACATTCATGAAATGACAAAATATAGAAATGGAGAACAGCCTACTGATTGCAAAAGATTAGGGCTTGTGGGGAGGGACAAGGCAAAGAAAGAGGTAGGAAGGATTTTAAAAGAACAACATAAAGGATCTTTGTGATGAAATGACTGTTCAGTATTTTCATGTGATGGAGGATACATGAACCTAGACACCCTATAAAACTGCACAGGACTTTATGTATACACACACACACACACACACACACACACAGACACACAGGTATAATAAAACTGGGAAAATGTGAGTAAGACTGTATAATGGTTAATTTTGGTGTCCACTTGATTGGATTCAGGAATACCTAGAAAAAGCTCTAACCTGGCTGTGCCTGTGGGCATGTTTCTAAAGAAGAAAAATCTGAGTAGACTGGATGTGGAAGACGCACCTTCTGTGTAAGCAAGCACAATCCAATCAACAAAGGGTCGAGAGAGAATAAATACAGAAAATGAGTGGGTCTCTTTAGAGAGGGAGTAAGATAGACTTCTATTGCCTTGGAAGTCAGAGTCAAGGTTCGGCTGCCTCCACACTGGATTTACACCACAGGTCCCCTGTGTTCTCAGGCTTTAATCTCAGACCATGGGTTACATCATCAGCATTCCTTGGGGTACATCATCAGCAGTCCTGCTGCTCAGACATTGGACTTGGACTAAGCCATGTTACCACAATCTCCACAATCTCAGTATCTCCAACTTGCAGACGGTCTGTTGTGGGACTTTTCAGCTGCTGTAATCACAAGTTGATTCTCTCAATAACTTGATTCATATATCTATACATATCCTACTTGTCTATCTCCTTAGAGAACCCTCACTAATACGGACCTATATCACTGACAATATCCTAGCAGCAATGTTGTGATACATTTGCAAGAAGTTACTATTGGCAAAAACTGAATAAAGGGTATAAAAGATTTCTCTGTGTCGTTCTGACAACTGCGTGTGAATCTAGTATTTAAAAATAAAAATGGTAATTCCAATGAAAGAAACAATTTATTTCATTTTATTTATTAGCCTAATATATCACACCGTTTTCATTTCAGCATATTAAGCAATACAAAATAAATGATTTCTTTCACATTTTCTCACGCTGTCCCTGTGCACTAGACATATTTCATGTGCTCAACAGCCACATATGGCTAGAGGCTACCGTATCAGACTGCATGATTGTAAGGCAAGCAACAACTAGAGGGAGAACTAAGGCTTAGGGGGTAGACATAGTTCAGGTTTCAGAGATACACCTCTAGTGAAATCCACAGTCCTTGCAATGGACCACAGGGTCGCAAGTTATGGCATTCTCCCCTTGCTTTCTCCCTCACTTATTCTTCAGTCATGTTGGACTTGACTGTTCCTGGTAAACACAAAGCATACCCCCACCTTGGGACTCTTGCTCTTGCTATTTTTTTTACATGAAATCTTCACTCCCAGGTATTTCTCTAGCATGCTCCCAACCAAGGAAGCATCTCTGCTCAGATGTCTGTCACAAGGACTTTCTGACCTACTTCTAAAAAATAGCAAATACTGCCCTTCATTAGCCCTTTCTACCACCCATCGTACTACTTTCATGTTCTCAACCGTACTTAGTCCATAGGCCATCCATCTATTTACCCAGTTGTCTGTCTGTCAGTCTCACACAGAGGACAGGGATTGTGTCCGCTTTATACAGGATCTCTTTTCCAGAGCCTAGAAAACTTTTTGACACACAGAAGATGCTCAATGAATATTTCTTGAGTGAATTTTCTGCTGAATAAATGAATTACATTTAAATGAATTAATTTCTCAGAAGATCTCAAATGGGCTGCCTTAAAATAAATCTTTGAATTCAAAAACTGACATGGTGAATTTCAGACACCAAGTAAAATGAGAGATAGAGAGAGAAAGTGAGAAATCACTCACAGGGGGTGGGCAAGCCATAATCCTTTTGCATTCTCCTCTTGGGATTTTGGGACATGCATACACATGTGCCTGGTATGTTTTTCAAGCCACCAGGTCTGGGACTCAAATCAGGCAGTTAGCCATGTGGGATCTAGCTGCCTTAACCTCCATGCCCCTTGCTGATCAACAAGATTTATTTATTTATTTATTTATTTATTCATTCATTCATTCATTCTTTCATTTTATTTTAATTTGACCAGAGAGAGAGAGGGAAAGCAAGAAAGCAAGCCACCAGGCCCAGGACTTGAACCATGGTCAGCCATGTGGGAGTGTCCAGCACCTTAACCACCATGCCACCTGCTGGCCCTCAACAAGATACAGAGATTAAATTTTTGACTAGAAGTTTTGTTTTTTAAACATTTCCATTTATTTTAGAGAGCTTTAACTTCTAATATAATTTTATTTACATTTTGTCTCCATTATATAATCATTGATTAGTTGACATCTTATTGTTAAATTTACTTTTCTATCAAGTAAATTCATTCAGAAGTTTTGGAAAAGTGTTACTATTCCCAAAAGTGTTATCAAAGGCCTTCTAGTACCTGGGCCTTCAATGAAATATTACCATCTGGAGAAACATTCTTTCAATAACCCAATCAGATTTTCTTTCTTTCTTGGACTTCTGTTACTGCACCAGTTAGGTACCTGAATTTTACACCTTTTCTAGTTTCACTATATCAAAGCTATTTACGAAAGTGTACTCACTCCAGGAAAACAGAAGCTATCTTTTCATTTCTCAGTCACTAGCATAATGATTTGTGCTTCTCGGTTGGACTTGGATAAATATTTGATGAATTTAATTGAATTCTGTTTTTTAAATAGAATGTATGCATACATCTACTCTAGAAGACACGAAGGCCAGCATTGCTAAAGATACCTCAAACACAAATTCAGATTGTCCATTATTTGCCCTAGAAAAGGACTAATATTTATTAAGCTCCTATGATGCATTAAAGATTTTACATGTGATCTCATTTAGTCTCCATAAAATATGAAGCTGGTATTATTCATAACACTGTATCCATGAGAAAGAACTAGGAGCTTGGAAAGAATAAAAGCTCCCAAGTTTAATGGCTAAAAAAATGTAAAAGTCTATGGACCTCCATATCCAAAGCATTATTTCACACTGCCTGGCAGGTATGCAATACTTCACTACAGAGCTAGCTTTTGAAGAAAAGCATAAAGGGGGACTAATAAGTCAGAGATTATCTAGATAAATACAGCAAAGCTATACTGAGCTTGTAAAACTCTACCTCATATAAGATTAGGGAATTTGTGTGTTTTTAGCCAAAAGGATAGCAAGTAATATTGCATAGAGAAAAACTGGTCCCCATTCAAAGACTTGACTCTTGGGAGATTAACCTCTACATCCTTGAACTTGCCCAAGTGATAGTAATGTCTTTGTTTGTTACTCATTGTGGGTCCTAGTATATTAATCATACTCATGTAAAAAGCTCCAATAGAAACTTGGAACACTAACGCCTAAGTGATCATCCCTGGTTGGCAATTCTCTATGTGTATTGCTATGATTTCAATGTGCTTAGAAAAAAGTATGTGATGGAAACTTAGTTCCTAGTGCAACAGTGTTAGGTGGTGAGAGGCTGTTAGGCCATGAGGGTGGAGTGAATGATTAATTCTGTTATTGTGGAAGTGGGTTTGTTATAAAAGGGGGAGTTTGGCAGCCACTTAATCTTCCCCCTTTGTCCCCTCTTGCTTTTCTTTCTTCAATCATGTGATAATGCATCAAGTCTCTCGTCAAATGTCAGCCCCTTAGTCTTAGACTTTCTAGCTTCTAGAAAAGTGAGAAATAAATTTCTACTCATTAGAAATTACTCAATCTTCAGTACCTTGTAATAGCAGCACAAAACAGACTAAGACATGTATCTTCACACATCAGTAGTAGATGAACACATCTGAAGGTAATGGAAAGTTTGAACTTGTAACCTTTCTGTGTGTCTTTTCCTTCGGCCTATGTTTTGTATTATATCCCTAAAGTCAATGAAATAAGTTTTATTGAGTTCCATGAGTCTCTCTAGTGTGTTATTGAAGGTGTTTTGGTGAAATCTCTCACTTGGAGTTGGTTTCAGAAATAAGGGTGGTCTTATGTGAACATTTCCCTTTAATTCTGTAGATGGATCCTAATTCCTTGCAGTTGGGCTCAGAAACCTCAGGCAGCCTTTGTGGTCTAGAAAACTGTAGCCTTAATTCCACATAGATGCACAATAATAATACTACAATTTTAGAGATTCTTAAACATTTATCATAGCAAATTAAATATTCAAATGTGAAGAGACATAAAAATTCACCTCCATTTATCAAAATACTATTATGTAGATGTACCGGGCATTATTCTAGAGCCAACATTCAGTTCAATATAAGAAAGAACTTATTAGAAATTAAGCCTAACTGAAGATGTTATTAGCAGCCTCTGAAGGTAGCAAGCTGCCCATCTTTGAAAATGTTAATTCCTAGAGTAGAAAGCTATAGCCAGATATATTGCTAAAGGATTCCAGCCTTGGAGGAGAGGATAGATGATTTTTAAGGTATTATCTAACTCTAACACTCTTTTATTTTATTCTATTTCTTTGGACTGGCAATAAATAAAGCCAAGTTTATATGTGTAATAGGTCAAGGTCTTACATTTGCCTCTTATAAAGATTAACCTTGTTTTGCAGAAAAATACCAGATCATAGGGGTCAGACAGTGGAGCAGTAAAACATGACTTCTCTGTGAGGCTGATCTACATGGGAAGTTTCCAGAGACCTCCCTGATATGCTTGCTGGGCATGTGCATGCTCATAAACAGAAGCTGGGTGAAGGCGGGGTGGATGAAGACACTGTTGGGGGTATTGTCTCTCTGTCTATCTCTTTCC